TCAATTCTACTTTGAAGTGGCAGCTCTTCCCCAGTGGCTTTTTGAGTGCCTTCCAACCTGAGGGGTTCATTTTCCAGCACTGTATCTGACAGTGTTTCTCTGCTATTCATAAGGTTTTCAGTGACTACATATTCAGAAGTAGTTCGTCACTCCTCTTCCTATTCTTTCTTCATCTGGAAGCTCATCTGAAGCCTGTCCACCATGGGTGACCCTGCTGGTATTTAAACACCGGTGGTATAGCTTTCAGAATCACAGCAACTCACAAGCCACCACAGTATGACAAACTGACAAATGAGTGGTGGCAGGTCATATGTGGTTGTGTTGTTGTGAAGTGCCGTCGAGTTGGTTCTGACCCATAGCGACCCTGTATAGGGTTTCTGAGGAGCAGCTGGTGAGCTTGAACCTTGTAGTTCAAATGGCTTTGCAGTCTGGCGCATTAACCCACAGCACCACACCAGGACTTCAGTGGGTCGTATAAGGACCACGAAATAATTTGGTTTGACCCTGCCAAGGCAACTGCAGTTCCAGTCATCACAGCGGAGTGAGTTAATTAGACGTTTGACCAAATATAGTAATTAATTTTTAAGTTGGTCATTTTTTACGGCACGTGAATGATATTATAAATATCCAAATGGCCCTTGGCAGAAAAAAGGTTCCCTAGTAGTTACGAATCGGGCTGCAAACCTTAAGGTCAGCAGTTCAAAGCTACCAGCTTTTCCACAGGAGAAAGATGAGGCTTTCTGCTCCCGTAAAGATTTACAGCCTCGGATACCCTGTACAGGGTCGCTATGAGTCAGAACCAACTCCATGGTGCATAAGAGCAACAACAAACCCCTTCACTGGAGTCCTGGTGTGGCACTGTGGGCTAATGCATCAGACTGCAAAGTCATTTCAACTGCAAGGTCAGTGGTACAAGCTCACCAGCTGCTCCTTGAAATCCTATACAGGGTCACTATGGGTTGGAATCAACTTGATGTTACTTAACAACAATTGTGGGGTGGCGCTGTGGGTTAATGCACTGGACTGCAAAGTCGGTTTGAACTCTAAGGTTAGTGGTTCAAGCTTACCAGTCGCTCCTTGGAAACCCTCCACATGGTCACTTTGGGTCGGAATTGACTCGATGGCAGATAACAAGCCCTTCCCTGAAGTCCTGGTGTGGCACTGTGGGTTAATGTACTAGACTGCAAAGTCAGTTTGAACTGCAAAGTCGGTGATTCAAGCTCACCCATCACTCCTTGGAAACCCTATACAGGGCCACTATGGACTGGAACCAACATGACAGCACTTAACAACAACAACAACCCCTTCACTAAAATAAATGTCTTATTGGCCACTGGCCTGTTAGAACTCATTATCCACCATAATTAATTAACTGGATGCAGGGTTATTCACAGGGATGCTAGTTGGCAGTGTGAGCACTTTGATTGTTCACTTGAAGACTAAATGCTAAAACTGGCTTAGTCGCATTGCTGGTCTTCATGACCAAGCTACATTTGACATGCATTACAGGGCCTTTCTCTGTTAATCTAAGTACACGTATCATTTGCAGTATAGTCTCATAAAGTCAACAGCAGATTCTAGAGACAGGGTGTCATTCAAATCGTTTGCTCTTTAATTAAAAAGACACAGCAATGCAAATAAAAAACTAAAAGCCACCTTGCTCTGCGTTTCAAACGAACCCCGAGTTTTCTAGTTCTGCACAAGCACAAAGCCCATCTTTGCAAGATTCTCTTCTCTGGTTCCCTCTTATTGCTAACTCTGTCATAAAAATGCTAAGTTCTACTCTTAAATTGATAGTTGTCATTTATATGTACTCATTTCTCATTTAATGGCTATGAAAACTGTTCCCCACTCCACCCCACCCCACCCTCTTTCTTTCTTTCTTTTTTTCAATACCGTTTGCCTTCCAAACAACATCTTTCTTCTGGCATTGAACTGAAACTATAACTATAACTTAGAATCCAGCAGCATCTAGTTAAAGTTGGCTTCATCCTTCAACTACACCCACCCAACCTTCCCATTTCTGATCTTCTTATCTTACCTCCCTCTCGGCCCCAGTCCCACGAGGTGTCATGTGTCCATATTGACCACACGCTCACACCCACACATGCACCGTCCAGGTCCTAAGGACCAAGCTACAATGTCACTGAGACCATGAACTCTAACAATGAATCAGGGATTTTGCACAGACTTTGCTGGTAGAGAAAGGACGAGGGAGAGAAAACATCATTAGTTTCAACTTTCCAACGATTCCAGAAAGATGGTCCTACCTTTCCCAAGATTTGGAGGAAACGGTCCCCCAAACTCCGGCTGCTTTGGCTTTAAAGGGTGTGGCCCTGTCAGGCCAGTGACCTGGGTGGCTGGGAACTGAGGCTTTCCATTGGTCAGCACTTGTCTTCGAGGGCTCAGGGCCGGCAGGTGGATGGGGCTGTCCACTATGTTGCCCTGCGGAGCCAACCCGCCTCCGGAGGACATCTTGAGATGGAGGTCATTTGTGAGGCCTCCGAGAGCAGGACTTGGGGAGCTGACACAGGACGCGGGGCCAGGAGTCCCTGAAGGGACATGGAGGGGTGGGATGTGGGGGCCACTGGCCATCCTGGGCCCTGCTCCTGATGTCCGGTGCAGGTTCATGCCGCATGCCCTCCCATTCATTCTGAACAGTGGTGGGCAGGATGAGCAATCTCCAAGGTACAGTTCACTCCGTTCAGGCCAAATCCTCGAAGTTAACCATGCTGTGGGTCACACCTGTGAAAAAAAAATAAAGGCAGGCGTTTTTAAAGTAAAAATGAAAATGGGTTCCAATGAGTCTTCGACCTGTATAGCAGGCACCCCAGGAAGAAAGAGGCACTATTTGAAAAACCAGCCTAGGCAGAGCAGGCTCAGGGAGAACATGGCTCTCAGGACCACCCTTCACTGCCATTGCCTACAATAACGACCGTGAGGGACTTGGAATCCACTCTGTGATGGACTGAAATGTATCCCCCTAAAATAATTATGATAAACCCTAACCCCTACCTGGTGTGGCGCTGTAGGATAAGCAGTTCAAACTCACCTGTCGCTCCCCAGAAACCCTGTACAGGGTAAGCTATGAGTCAGAACCGACTCCACAGCACTTATCAGCAACAACAACGTACCTGTGGTTAAGCACTCAACTGCTAACCAAAAGGTCAACGGTTCAAACCTGCTAGACAAGGCCTAAACCCATGAGCACCTCTGTGGGAAGAAGAAGTGACAATCTGCTTCCATAACCATCGCAGCCTTGGGAACGCTATGAGGCGATTCTCCTCTGTCCTAGAAGGTCGCTGTGCCTCAGAATCAACTCAGAGCAAAAGGTTATACCTGTCCGATCATTCTATTTGGGAACAAGGTTTTCTTTTTTATGTTAATGAAATGGAGCAACATAGCCCCCTTCTATACCTAATGTCCTGGTGTGGCACTGTGGGCTAATGCATCAGACTGCAAAGTTGTTTGAACTGCAATGGCAGTGGTTCAAGCTCATCAGCTGCTCCTTGGAAACCCTATACATGGTCGCTATGTGTCAGAACTGGCTCGACGGCACTTAACAACATCAACAATACATAATGTCTTCTACACAAGACCTCTTTAAAGTGCTCAAGAGCAAAGATGTCAGTCTGAGGACTAATATGTGCCTAACCTAAACCATGGAGTTTTAAACAGTTTGACAGCTGGACAATGAATAAGGAAGATCGTAGAAGAACTGATACATTTGAGTTATGGTGTTGGAGAAGTATATTAAAATACCATGGACTGCCAGAAGAACAAATAAATCTGTTGGAAGAAGTACATCCAGAATGCTTCTTAAAAACCAGTATGATCAGACTTTGTCTCTCATACTTCGGACATATTATCAGGAAGGACCAGTCACTAGAGAAGGAAAGTCAGAATAAAAGAGGAAGATCCCCAATGAAACGGATTGGCACAGTGGCAGCAGGGCTGGGCTCAGGCATAGGAACAACTGTGAGGTTGGTGCAGGACCAGGCAGTGTTTGGTTATAATGTCCATAGGGTCACTATGAGTCAGTACTGACTCCACAGCACGGAACAACAACAACGTTACATAATGTCACCACAAGCCGTAGCCAATTCCACAGAAACTAACGACAAAGCTATCTCTGGTTTGCACTCTGAATCCAGTCTTGGGCACGATCCTTGGATTTACGAAAGACGTAAACCAGGACTTGGGAACATGGCGCATACAAAATCTGGCAGCCAAGAGCAGAGAGTCTTGGTCTATACAAACCAGAACTGACCTGAGCTACAGGGATGTCAACCGAACCAACACCATGGTCCTCGGCCCTTCTATGAAGTGTTTACAAAAGTGAATGGGTGATGAAAAACGCCTTGTGGGAGCAAAAGGAAAGACCCAAACCTAACCCGTCGCTGCTGACTCATTCCAACTCCCAGCGACCCTAGAGGACAGAACTGCCCCATAGGGCTTCCAAGGTGGTCATCTCGATGGGAGTAGATGCCAGATCTTTCTCCCGAGGAGCACCTGAATGAGTTCAAACTGCCACCTCTCACTTAGCAACCACGCACTTAACCACTGCCACCAGGTCTCCTTGTAAGGAAAGCCAATCTTTCTAATATTGACTTGTTAAGATGCTTACTACATACCATAGATGGTTAACCAGCTACCGTCCCCATGAAGCTTCCATTCGCACGTAGCAGAGGGGACCACGAAGTTCTGACCTGACCAGTATCTGAAAGTACACCTTCATTCTCACTCATTATGGGATGTTAACCACCATTAAGTCAGCTCTAACTCACCACAGTCGTATGAGCAAGAGAACAAAACAGTGGCCAGTCCTACTCCATCATCCACCACTCGTCTCTCAGTTTGTTGTCTCTGGTGACTTTCATGTTGCTGTGATGTTGTAAGCTATGCCATAGGATCACCCATGGGGGACAGGTTTTAGCTTAACTTCCAGACAAGGAAGAAGGAGAGGTGGACTTCTTCTCAAAGTTTAGTCACTGAAAATCTTATGAGTAGCAGTGGGACAGTGTCAGAAAGCACCAGAATACTGACTATGGAAACATGATGAGTAATGTCAGAATAGTGTCAGATGCAGTGCCAGCAGATGAGCTCCTCAGACTGTAAGACTTAATTTAATCAGATCCACCATCAACACTCATGGAAGCAGCGGTCAAGAAATCAAGCGATGTATTGCTTTAGGCAACTCTGTTGCACAAGAACTCTTTAAAGTGTTCAAGTGCAAAGATGTCCGTTTGAGGATGAAGGTGCACCTGCCCAGGCCAAGTATTTTCAATAGCCTCATATGCATGTGAAAGTTGGACAACAAATAAGGAAGACTGCAGAAGAACTGAAGAATTTTAGTTATGGAATTGGAGAAGAATATTAAAAGTACTACGGACTGTCAGAAGAACAAACAAGTCTGTGTTGGAAGAAGTACAACCAGAATGCTCCTTAGAAACCAAGGCGATCACACTTGATACCTTATACTTCAGACATATTATCAGGAGGGACCAGTCCCTGGAAAAGGTTATTGTGCTTGGTAAAGTGGAGGGTCAGGGAAAAAGACGGAGACCCCCAATGAGATGGATTGAAACAGTGACAGCAGCAATAGGCTCAAGTGAGGTTGGCCCAGGACAGGGCAGTGTTTTGTTCTCTTGTACATAAAGTCTCTAAGAGTCGGAACTAACTTGATGGCACCTAACAACAACACACCATCATGATCAAACTAAGTCACCAGTATTTCCAACACCAGTGGGGTAACAGTGGCACTTTCAGACTAAACCGGTCTAGGGAAGAAAGGCCTGCTGAGGTACTTCCAAATATTTGCCAATGAATCACAGCATGAAAACACCATGAATCACAGCAGACCATCCTCTTCATCAGCAACTCCCCCAAAGGAAGGAATAAGGTGGGTAAGTGTCAGAGAAGCGCTAGGACTGGCAATGAACAACAGCTTCAACCACTATCTCTACTCTTCTGTAGAGACAGGAGAGCCAGGAGTAGAGGCCACAGCTGAACTAAGACAGGAAATGAAGACAGAGCAAATCAGTAGGCAATCAACCCATCCCTTTGCCATGAAGTCCATTCTGACTCAGCAAGACTGATAGATTTTCCAAGACTACCAGCTTGACTAAAGTAGATCTTTCTCCAGAGGAACCAACCACTAGCAGGTTTGAACCACTGACCTTTCAGTTAGCAGCCAAGTGCTTAACCACTGTTCCACCAGGGTTCTTTCAGTGAGCTTCAACCAGACACTCACTACTTTTACTGTCTGATTCTCTCAATGTCTTGCCTACATGTTTTTAACTCAACTTACTCACCAGTGAGGCCTGGTGTGGTGCTGTAAGCACTGGACTGTTGTAACCACAAGGCTGGTGGTTCAAACCCACCAGCTGCTTCTTGGAAATCCTATACAGGGGCACTGTGAGTCGGAACTGACTCGATGACACTCAACAACATAGCAACAACCTTCATCACTTCCACCCATAAATCACCAAGGAAAATAAAGGATCCTTGAGGGCAAACTTCTAAAGAAGAATTTCTCCTTTTATCGTTTTAGAAAACCGAAACTATCTTAATGCTCAAACCAAGCACTTATTCTGCCTTCTGAAAAGTTCATCATGCATTCCTTTGTTGAGGAACTTATGATTAACAATATGAAATTTGGAAAATAAAATTTTCACTTTCATCAACTCTACATTTCACAAAGGATTCTATCAGCCTGTGACTTTTCATCCTGCCGAGGTCACTCTCCATGGTATTCCCCTACGTCAGGCCTGCCTCCTGCCCTCCCCTTCCACTATAGACCCCACAAATGGCCAAATCCTGGTGTCAGACTGGTGGTAGGATTTCTATAAGGGGGACAATAATCCTAGTGCCATTGCATTTAGGATTGGCTGGTATGTTACCAGCAGATCTTGGTTGGTGGTCTCAGTGCTTGACTAGATAATGTTGTTGATGCTGGACAACTTTCAGTTGAAAGTAAAAACACCAACAAAAACTGTATTTAAATTTTATAACCAAAAAAAAACAACCTCAGGTGACAAAGTAGAACTGCTTCCATAGAGCTTTCTTAGTTATACTCTTTATGGATACAGACAGCTGACTAGTTCACCCACAGTGATGCTGGGTAGATTTGAACCACCAAACTTTCAATTAGCAGCCAAGCACTTAACCACTGTGCCACTAAGGCTCCCATTACAAGACAAAGTCGTTAGTCGTTGATGTTAGGTGCCATCGAGTCGATTCTGACTCACAACGACCCCACACACAATAGAAGAAGCACTCCCCCTCCTGAACCGACGTCAGAATCATTATGTTTGGACCTGTCTTTGCAACCACTGTGTCAGTCCGTCTCATTGGGTGTCTTCCTCTCTCTCTCTGACCCTCTACTTTACCAAGCATAATGTCCTCTCCAAGACTGCTGTCTTCTGATGTTGTTGTTGTTGTTATGTGCCATGGAGTCGATTCCGACTCATAGCGACCCTGTACAGGGTTTCCGAGGCTGTAAATCTTTACGGGAGCAGAAAGCCTCATCTTTATCCTGCAGAACAGCTGGCAGTTTCGAACTGCTGACCTTGCGGTTCACAGTCTGATTCGTAACCACTACGCTACCAGAACTCCTTTGATAGCACGTCCAAAGGACATGAGACAAAGTC